GTGGTGGTGGTAGAGGGGGACAGGAGTCAAATCAGAGGGACACCAAGGTTGGCCAACTTAGGCAGGGCCTAACTAAGGAGGTCAAGAGTTTGCTTTTACTCTGAATGTGATGGAACCCAGTGGAGGCGTGACAGGATTACTCTGCTACTATGTAAACAGACTGAATGGAACAAAGGTGGAAGCACAGTGACGGAAGGATACTGCGATCGTCTGGGTGACAGATGATGGTGCCTTGGATTAGGGTGGCATAGATGGAGATGAGGACAATTCTGACATGTTTTTAAAGTAAAACTAAAAGGATTTGTTGATCAATTCGATACAAAGTGTAAGAGAGAAAAGGGGGAAAAAACCCTGGATTTGGTGATAATGAACAAAGGGCCCAATTCAGAAAGGAAGGTCACAAGGAAGATCTGAGGTGACATTTTAGTCAGAGCTTGAAGGATAAGGAACTTACCGGGTAAGGGCCAGGAAAGAATCTGGCATATTCTCTACATACAACCTTACAAGCAGCCAGTATGACAGAAGCATGAGGGGCAAGTGAGATGACATGAAGTGGGAGAAGCAAGCAGGGATCAGACCATACAGGATTTTATAGGCTACAGCAGAGAAATCCAGAATTTTATTCTAGGTACAATGGAAAGTAATTTCAGTTAATGTCATAAAAATATTACGAAAACAGGGAACCTCACTACATATGATTTTTAAACTTAATTTTTAGAAACTGACAAGTGAGTTTTAATGCCTGTCCATTACTACTAACAGTAAAACTTAACCTAGAGGCCGGGCGCGGTAGCTCACGCCTGTAATCCTAGCACTACGGGAGGCCGAGGCGGGCGGATTGTCTGAGCTCAGGAGATCGAGACCAGCCTGAGCAAGAGCCAGACCCCGTCTCTACTTAAAAAAAAAAAAAAAAATAGAAATTATCGGGACAACTAAAAATATATAGAAAAAATTAGCCAGGCATGGTGGCACACGCTTGTAGTCCCAGTTACTCGGGAGGCTGAGGCAGTAGGATCGCTTGAGCCCAGGAGTTTGAGGTTGCTCTGAGCTAGGCTGTCGGCACTCACTCTAGCCAGGGCAACAGAGTGAGATTCTGTGTCAAAAAAAAAAAAACTTAACCTAGAGTAAGTGGCAACAACTTCTGTTACCTGGACACGTCCATTCAAGTCTGTAATTAGTATTCTACTAGGTTAGTATTAATAGAAACAAAGCAGCAGAACCTATCACACACCACTTTAGATCACTTTAAAACATTTAACAACCATTTTAAATAAAAAAGTATACTGTTGGTAGATAGGTGCTAAAATACATTCTCTACTGATTTGCTTTCCTTTTTTCCCCTTGTCTCCTATGGTCTTGTCTGATGTGATTTTTATATTAACAATGCCCATTACTATCGTAACATTAAGTCTTTAGTTAACAAGTCTATGAAAGAACATCTTGTATTCACAGAACCTTTACAAATCAGCTCAAAACATCTGAGAGACATTAGCCTTTATATCTTTACAAGGTATTTAATCCAGTTTTGCAGATGAGGACAACCTGAAGCACAAAGCTGTTAAATGACCTGATCAAATCTACGTGGTGAGTCACGGACAAGACAGGAACTACTAGGTCTACAGGTTCTAACTCTTACCCTCATCACGAGTCTTTATTATCCTCATCTGCACAGTTTTAAGGCTACTGAAAGGGGCATCCACGTATTTCTTTAACATAGAGAATACAAATTTCCCCCTAGTTGAGGTTACTTAATCTTTTCTACTTGTTTTCCTAGACAGTGATGAGAAACTAGTGTTCAACTATTTGGGTTTTTACTGCCAGCTCTGCCAGTGAAAGCATATACAACTCCAGGCAAGTTAATATCTTGTTTTCATCAAATGAAAAAGGAACGATGTATGGCTGAAGATGTTCCAGAAAAAATGATTTTGTACTCACAGGGTGTGTAATGTGTATACACAGACCTACATAGAAGCCAACACACTGTATTAAAGACAAGGCATAAAAATATTACCTAGATATTACTTAAGTCTCTCCTTTTTAAGTTGTAAAGTGGTAATTCCTCACTGGGAAAGATCAGACTCACCAATGTTCTTAACTAGCAATCAAAACCTGAGCCGAAACCTCTCAGAGAATCAAGAATGACTTGAGACCATCATCAACAACTTTCACTCAGTAATGAAACTACCTATGCTACTTAACAGCAGCCCGGAACATCTTCTCTCCTGCTCCTACTGCTAGGAAGAGATGCCAAGTATAGCACTCTTTAGTTAATAGCAACCGAAAAAGAATTTGAGACTTGTCCTTATCTCAATCCTTATTTCCAATTAAACAAAGCCCCAACCTGGCTCAGTAACCTGAAGTCTCAGTCTCCTAAATATTTCATGGTATGTTTAGGATAGAATTTTAGCAAGTCAAGTCTCAACTACAAGAAAGCTTCTGTGAAGTCACACTGTAAAATAGGATATTACTTCATCTGTTAGCTTAAAGACACTGGACTTTTTTTGGTCTTTAAAAAAAAGTTTGTTTCCTGTTGTGTAGCATCTGGCTTCCATAACCAAAAAAGCCAAACACTGGCAGTAAGCCTAAGAAGGTTTTCTAAATAATTAGTGGAGGGAAAAGAAGAATATTAAATGTCCTTTACTTTTAATTAAGGCACAAAAGAAAAGGAAAAATATAGTTTTGAAACCTTGCACACCCGTTCTTCTCCATAAGGATTACAATAAAGATTTTCATTAAGAGGTTGTCTTTTCTAAATCCTATTGAACTGGCCTGGCTTAGACAGGCACTAAAAATACCATAGATTTCCCGCAGGCTTGAAAAATGCAACATATTGATATATTCATATGTTAATATTCTTTCACCAATGAGTCTTTGCAGGTAATAATATTCTATTTTTAATAGTAAAAACTGTTAGCTTTAAACACATTCACTCGGCCCTACGCCTTAGACAAAAAATTAGCACTAGCAGCTGAGTGATTTTTTTTTTTTAAAGGACCTTCCCTCCACAATTTTGAAACCTTTAAATCCCACTATTATATTTTTCCTATTTTACTTCAGTTTCTTAAAAAAAAAATAAAAAAATACGAGGACATCACATTCCCATGTTAGCTGTAGTCTAGCAGTAATTCAGTAACATTAAGGCTGAAAGCTTTTCCTATTACAAAGTCAAACGCGTCATTTGGTGACGCCTGTTTAACTCCTGTTGCCAATGTTACTATAATTGGGAAAGCAAAAGTCCTGAATATAAACATCAAGAAAAATGATGGTATCAGTTTTAGTAATCCTCTAAACAGTGATTCAGCAAATAAGTTGCACCCAAGGAAGATGTACTCATCTTGAAAAGAAATTTTAGGACTCCTTTAAACTAAGAGTTCTTTGCTGATCCATATAGCAGAAACCTGAATCCTTATTCCAAGTTTGTACAGCTCACCAAATGACAATTATAATAGCAGCTGGCCTAAAAGAAAATCCAGTCTCTGAAGACTTTCCACCTTGTTCACAGGGGCACATTTCAAAGCAAGCTCCATCATTACCTGCACTGAAGGCTCCTGCTGTCCCAGAAAAGATCTTACCCACAGAGATCATTGTCAGTTTTCCTACCGTGCCAACTCAGCCCTCTGACAAAAGACAGTCTCTTCATCAAAGTGTTTTGTAAAAGCAAAGAGTTTTCTCCTCCTGCCTACACGCAGCTTTACATGTTTCTAACAAGGTATGAACAGTAGACCAGAGTCTACTGAGGTTAGAATTTTGCAACAATTTTAATGTTAAAAGGAATGCCCTAGCTAACCTTGATACAAAGATTCAATCTATTTAAATAATGGCTTCTATTGCTAAAGGAAAAAATTTTGTAGTTCTAAGACTTTGAGAACAAGATCTTCAAAAGTTGTTTTAAGTAGCTCTCCCCAAATAAGCCTTGCTCAGTAATAGTGAGGATGTTTAAAAATGAACAGATGTCTGCACATGATAAAATCCCACTAGACCTGCTTAAGAAATCTGTTTAACAGGACAGACCTGCTCCCAGACTTTTTCAGCAGCAAACATCTGAGGGCCTACAGTGTGCCAGGCACTGTAGGGGGCACATACTAGGAGGCAGCATCTCCAGGCTTCTCTAGTGAACAGATTCCTGGAACATCAACTCCATGAGAGGAGGAACCCTGCCTATACCTATCACATGGGTAGGCACTGTGGCCTCAGTGCCCAGATGAATACCTGGCACAGAGCAGATAACAAATTCTCGAGACATGAACAAGTTTTAAAATCTGTTAGACATTTAGGAGTTCTTTAACATAATTTAGCAAAATTGGGGGAAAGATATCCTTTTACTCACATGGAAGCCTTCATTCTTTTATAAGCCATAGTCACAAGTTATAAGTGTTGGAATGCCACATACTTTATTCCTACCTGACATAGTCGGTTGTGACATAAAGGGTTATGTCAAAGTCCACTGTGATAATGAAGGCGAAAACCCTTTGAAAAGCACAAATTCCAAATGCAAATTGGCAGTAAAGAGGTTCAGACCTGTGTTTTTTAAAGTTTGTTAAACCTGAAGACAACTTCATTTTAATCAGAGGTTAAAGAGAATTCCATGTGTAACCCGGACGCCTTGCATTTGCTTTTCAGTAGATTAAAATGTTACAACTGGTTGTTCCTTAACAACCTCCCACAGGGGGACAGTGTAGTGTGGACTAAGGCACCTGATGGAAGCGAGCCATGAAAACAGTAATCCTGTGTGAGTGCTTCTGTTCAGTTCAACAAATATTAAAATCAAGCCTCTAGTATGTGCCAAGTATTATGCTAGATGCTGGAGATAAAAAAAAAAAAAAAAAGAGCTCTCTCTGTCCTTAAAAATTTATACCTCTTAAATACAGCAAAGAAAAATACTTAGCTTTGATTATACAAATTGCTTAAATTATAGGGAAAAAATGTTGCAACTGCAAGAGCGGTTGCCTCATAAATCCTGGAGAAAGTATCAAACTAGGCCATCAATCCTTATGGGGAAATCCAAAAACAGGTCTTTTAAAATGTATGACAAATTTGTCTTTTGGACATAGAGAACATGGTGGCAAACACTGCACTGCAACTGCCAAACAGTTTGCACCGTATAAGCGTTAATGGTGAACTACTTTGGTTCAAGTGATTGCATATTAAGAAATCACCTTCTCCCCCAAACAGACGCTTTATCTTCATTTTCCTTTTCTGAGTCTACATTCTTTTTTCCCTCTAAGCTCAATGTTTAGCATGAACAAGAATCCTGCCCATTTAATATTTAACTAAAAGATGTTAATTTTCACTGCAAGTTTAGAACTGAAAGAATTGATTTACACAAAATTGCAGAAACTGAAGATGCCTGGAAAAACTCCTGAGCATTACTCAGTACTCACTATAGTGGTCAGGAATGTCTGCTGTGGAGTCTGCAGTGGAACCCTGGCTCACCCAACAGTATTCACTTCTACCTCTATAGCTATCGGGAGGATTAAATGTGCAGCTGTGTTAAGGGCCTATCAAAGTCTGGCACATAAAAAGTGTTCCCCAATTGCAACCACCTGCTAATACGCAAAAAAGGGGGCCACTGGCTCCAAATCGAGGGCTGCACTAAGATTATTCTCCGGAGACACCATCAGCAAGAAATCCAAGACAGACCTGTTTTTAAAGTGAAAGCTGGAGTGCAAACTGAAGTGGTAGAGGTACAAATGCCCTCACATCACTTCATGTGGCACCTAGTGAACTAACGCCCAACTGAAAAAGCTGTAAACTGGGATGGTAAGGAAGAGATACGGCTTGGGCAGTGACCACGACTCCTCATTCTGTGTGGGTTCGAAAACACTTGCTCCCACACGTAGCTTTAGGCAAGCCACTTTACCATTTTAGCCTCTGCTTTCCTCATCTGGAAAATGGGATAACAAGTTACTCTCTCATGTAGATGCGGATCAAACAGGGTATGCAAAGAGCTTGGCACAGATCCTGCCACACAGCAAAGCCACTACCACCTGCAGCAGCTCACCCTCGGCGCTGGCCATTAAAGGCGCTGTTACGACTCGCGGAGGGAGACAGAGCGGGTCTGCAGCGGGCTAAGCTAAGGAGCGGCTTCCCTGGCTCTGCCACTTACAGCCGGGCACGCTGGTTCACCCCTCTCTGCCTCGGAGGAATGCAGTGAGGATTAAATGAGTTAATCCACGGAAAGCGCTTAAAACGGTGCCTGGCGCGCAGTTAGCACTCAGCGCGCATTAGTGATTATTCCAAGTGCTGCGCATTAGCAGGGCCGCGGGCCCCGCGCGCCGGCTTCCCGCGGGCGGGATGCGCGGGCAGGCCGGCCCCGCCGCCAGGTGAGCCCGAGACCTTCCTCGCACTTGCCTGGGCGGCCCGCAAGCAAAAGCAACTTTTTTCACAGTTTCGCACCAGGGGCTTCCCCGGCCAGGCCGCCTGCTCCCGGGGCGACCTCGCCCTCACCTTGCTGGAGGTCCTGGTGGTCGTACCACGGCTCGTCCTCCTTCATCTCAAACTCCTCCACCAGGTTTTCCGCCAGCATCGCGGCTGGGTCTTCCGGGGGCAGCGGCCCCCGCCGCCGCCGTCCCGCCTCAGCCGCTGACCCGGGCTCTTCCCCGGCCCCTCCGCCCTCAGCCAGAGCCGCCCTCAGGCGGGACGCGCCGCCGCCCAGGCTCCGCCGCGCCGCCTCACCACAGCAACCCGCAGCGCACGCTGCCGACTGGCTTCCCGACGCGCCTTGCGCAGCCCAACGGCCAGCACCCCGGCGCTAGCGTCCCGGCAGGCGCCCGGAGCCGGCTCCCCACGCAGCAGCCGGGCCCAACGTGGCACTTTGGCAGCTCCCTCCCCGACCGGGGCTGCGATTCAAACCCCCGGCGGCGTCTCGACCAATCGCGCGCGGGCCGCCGGCCGAGCGGCACCCTCTTCTCCCAATCGCGTCTCCCCGAAGGCCCGCGGCTCGCCCAGTCTCGAGGACAAGCAGCCAATAGCGCCTCTGGAAGAAACAAAGAAGGCGGGGCAAGCGCGAAGGGGTGCGGCCGAGAGTCCCGCCCCCTCGCCTCCCTTATGTAGCTTCTGGAAGTGGGTTTGGGGTTCCGGGGTGGGGAGGCGGCGGCGTCCCCTGTGGTGGGTGTCTGGCCGGCTGGCCAGTCAGTGGACAGGCTGCGCGAGCCGGAGGTGCGAGGACTCCGCCTCAGAGCAGTGGGCGGTTGTCTTGGGGACTCCTTCGTGCCCACGGGAGGCGCGCAAGGTGCCGGAAGCCCGAGGTTGGCTGCCTGTCTGGCCCTTCTCGTGTCCTGACTCGCAGATGCTGGGAGACTCAGGGCCGATCGGGAGTCTGGGGCTGAGAAAACGCCCTCTGCGTGTTAGCTCTTTTCTCTTTGATATCTGAGCCCTGTGAGCCGCTGGGAATTGTACTCACTCCCGCTAAAACGGTGGGCGCCAGACCTACTTGAGAATCTGGGGCGGGGAGGAGTGCTGGAAGCTGTCTACTCGGGGGACAAAAAATTGCAAGCGATTGTGCATACGGTTTTTAAAAGGTACTCGTAGACCACAAGGTAAACATCTGGAGACATGACATTGCTTCTGGACAGGAGAGGCTGCGGCCCTGGCACTTGATGGCCGGCAGGGCAGTGCACGCTGTCCTCCAGACATAGCACAGTAAATACTGCTCGCGGGTTAAGCTTCTAGCACCATCGTGCAGACAAAGCACGGAAACTCTTAAATAGGGCGACAGACCTGAAGGTCAATGTTCTCAACCTTGACGTAAAGGTAAAGTTACAGCCGAGAGGAGAAGACAGCAGTGCCAATATCTGTCTAACGCTGATAGAGCAGAACAAAAAATAGAGGTTTACGTATATTATTGAAAGAATATCTCTAGAACGTAAGGTAATAACTATCAGAAATTCAGAGGGAGGGAAGAGAAGGGGAGTAGTATGAGTTAAACCCTGATCTATCTTAGCAGTGAGTTGACAGATAATACCTTAAGTTGATAATTCAATAAATCCTTTCCACAGATACGGAGAGAGCTGTCAGAACTAAATATGGGAAGTCGTTAAGAGATTTCCTGAGGGGAGAGGTAGTTGGGGCTGGGGACTTTGGCTTTTTGTTATAAACCCTTTTGTGATCTTATTTTTTTAACCACTTTGTACACATTACTGGGCTGAAAAATAAGGGAAATAGTAGGGAAGGCGTTGTAGATTCTCAAACTACTTTTGTCTTTCTAAAGACGGGTAATTTGGAGGAGGGGAAAAATTCACCCCAAATAATTCCTGTGGGTAGTAAAATTTAGGGTGTCCACTGCCTCCCCATCCTTGCTCAAATCAATGTAACCTCATGCTGATGCTGTGAGGGTCGAACAGCTTGACTCCAGGGTCACCTTTTACATAGGCTGTAGGCTACTGCCCTTGAAATCTTGCCAAGGACAAGAAGACCTCCCCATTGTGTGGTTGTTGTCTCAAGTTTTACCCTTTGATCTTTAACAAAGACTGCTTAATAGAGTGAAAAACACAATGGATCTAGAGTCACAAAAGCTAGGGTTCTTGCCATAGTTGGTACCAACAGAGAAGCCTTTTGCCAAAAGGTTTACAGGAGAGATTGCCTCTTTGCCTTGCTCACAGAGTTAGGAGAATCAAAGAGAAACAATATGAAGAAGCATTTTATTCCCTTTTTAAATGTAAAGCTGTGTCATTGTTACTGATAGCGGTTAAAGTGCAGGTACCCTTGGGGACAAATATAAATAATAGTAATGGATTATAACCCATTGAATAAAGGAAGAATCCATGAGTATCCGTCATGTATACTGATATGCATAAATAAATGGGAGAGAAAAGAAAGTTCTTATAGTAGGATACCAACTAAAAAATGTAGAAGGAATCACAATGTTAGAAAGCAATAATAAAGGAGGAATGGTAATCTCACAAATCCCTTTCTTTTGAATCCAAATATACTAAAAGGCAAAATGTTAGTGATCTGCTTTTTATTGCTAGGTTAAGAAGAAAGCTAGGTCCCCTACAAATCCTCTATTGCCCTAGTTGTTAATATTCAGGTAGAGATATTAGTCCAGAGTCAAAATAAAATCATTTAAAACCAACTATGCGAATCACTACAGATAGAGTCCTTTGAAAAGAGAGAAAATTGGGTTTAGAGTTTGCTAATGGTGATTTGTGGACGCTTAAGGGCTAAAATCATGCACCTGATGCATGATCATTACTGATCCGGAAGGTTGAACGTGCTGGCTGTTTGCTCCATGGCAAACAGAAGCTCATTTTAACTCCACATGGAAAAAGTGTACTGGAACTTTCTTTTGAAAAAAAGAAAAGAAAGAAAGAGAATGAATGAGAAAAAAGAAAAAGAAATCCATCTGGAGAATTAAAGTTATTGATAGTTTAAAATAACAACAAAACAAAACACCCCACAAGCTTTATGCCTTTTGGTGTGTTAGCGGATTCTTCTTAAGGACACCATTTAAGGAAACTTTTTTTCCCCTGGAAAATCTTGAACAAAAATTGCATTGAACAAGTTGTGTTAGTTTTCAGCGCTAAATTTGGAGGGATCTTCGTTATTCTTTTAAAGTCTACTTAGTTATAGCTTAGAAGCAATTATAAGTAGCCTTTTCAGTGACATTAATATTATTTGGTTTTGTAGTAGGTTAGTAAATAGCTACCCAAGTTGATTCCAAAAGGAGGATTTGGGGCGTTCATTTAATAATTCATTACTATTTAGTGCACTTGCCCAGCCTAATCACTACATCATTTTGCGACTTTTAAAGTCTTCTATATAAAACATTTTATGGTGAGGATGATCCAGCTTTAGAAATTCTTTGTCTTTGGTTGTAAAGATACAATGCACCTGTTCCTTTGAGTTTTGTTGCTATAGTAAATTCATGTAAGGAGAGTTTTTAGATAGTAGTGGTGGCTTTAAAAAAATTGTAAGTGATGATTTTCAGTTTGATACTTACAAAAATTAGTATTTACTATGATGACAGTAATAGAAAGCAAAATATTGATGGCTTCTTTTGCAGAAGGAAATAAGATTTTTACTTCCTCCTCTCAATATATAAAAACAAAGAGAAGTTCAGACTATAGAGTTTTTCATAATGCTCTTAAAACCTTATATTCTTATGTTTCAGACAGGCTGGGTACTTAACTCAAATTCTTTGAAAAAAATTTTCAATTCAACTCAGAGAGCTTATGACCCTTTGCAGAATACTGAGTTTATAAATACCTACCTTCTGACTTAATGATAGATCAGTTGAGAAAGGTGTGGTATGCTTCTTGGTTTAGCATGCCTGAAATAAAGCTAAGGAAAAAAAAGAGTGCCTAGATTTTGGTAGGCTAAATTTGTATCTTAGCTTTTGGTTCTACTGACTCCCTTGTTTTTTTGTTTTTGTTTTTTTTTGAGACAGAGTCTTACTCTGTTGCCCGGGCTAGAGTGCTGTGATATTAGCCTAGCTCACAGCAACCTCAAACTCCTGGGCTCAAGCAATCCTTCTGCCTCAGCCTCCCGAGTAGCTAGGACTACAGGCATGCGCCACCATGCCCGGCTAATTTTTTCTGTATATTTTTAGTTGTTTGGCCAATTTCTTTCTATTTTTAGTAGAGACGAGGTCTCGCTCTTGCTCAGGCTGGTGACTCCCTTGTTTTTGACCATCTTAGTAACAAAGCGACCTCTAACCTCAGTCTTCATTCTCACTTAAGCCAAAAGAAACTCCCTAGAGATCTTTACCAGTAGTTCCCAGCTTGTTCAAATCTGAGAATTACCTTTTAAAGCCAAAGTGGCTGTGTGGCTGACCTCCTCACAATAGTGCTTGTACTTTTCAAGTGTTTGAGAACTGCATAATGACAAAAAAAAAAATCAGATTTGTGTTTGATCATTACAGCAGAATCTACAAACGTTTTAATAATACAAGTAAACATGTGGGCAAAATATTCTTTATTCAGTCTACAGACAATGTTTTCTATGCATATGGGTTTGATAACCCCTTTTGATGATTTTAGGGCCCTACCACTCAGAGAATTAGAATCATTCTTGGGTCTCAGGGTGCAAAGTGAAGCTTAGGGACTTTAAATAATCTGATAATCTGAGCCAAATGCCTACTTCCCCTTTCTGACTTGCCCTCCCTTTCCCTAAGAAATTTGACCATATAGATTGAAGTATCTGCTTAATTCTGTTCCTGAGTCTACAAAGTTAAAGCAGAGGCCCAAGGATTATCCAAGCAAATAAATCCTTCGAGTTATTTACACAGTTGTCTGTTTTCTGATTAAGATCGTGGAGACCTGGTCAAATATTCCAGTAAGCCAAAGATAAAACAGGAAGATCATAGTGTTCTTGTAAAACTATACTCAAGATTAAAAGGAAGATAACTCTATGCCTACTTCTTGCTTGGTTAGCCTTTTCCTGTTTTCCAGTTGTGAAAATCAAAAGGTAAGACAACGGGTTAGATTTAAGAGGGGCCTGTGCATCAGAGCAAGGATCAGAATGTGTTATTTTTATACCCATCTTAGATATGTCCTTTGGGTCAAAGCTACATTGTCTATCAGGAGAAGATCAAGAATAAATCTTCAAATGCAAGTCTGTACTACTGAATGGACAACTTTATACTAAGATGAAGGGCTTGCTTCTGTATCTTATCTCTGACCTTAGCAAAAGGCTGTCACTTTGTTCTTTTTCTGTTGTACCCTCCCAAATAGGGAGGGTAATAATGCCATAAACCTATCTCCCTGACCACTAGTTAAGCTTGTCCAAACTCTTGGATAAATCCCACCTTATAAATTAGAAGAGATAATAAAAATATAGGTAGAGTCACACTCCATGCAAATTAGGGTTCCTGGCAACATCTCAAAAACGTACTGCGTGAATGATTAAATAAACAAAGTTTTGGACTCTTAATTAACTAAAATTAACTAATGTCCAGTAGAATTTTGCCACCCATCAGCTATTGTATGCAAACAGTGAATTTAACTTTTTTTTTTTTTAAACAAAGGAAAGAAGAGTTCCTCTGCACCAAATATGACACTTCCAAATATCAAACCCATTGCTTGGGCATACTCTATGATAACATTAGGGACTGAAATGCTAAATTCTGTCTTCAGTTTCTACTATGTGAAACTTTTTCTACATCTGTACAAGATTTCGGATATGGCCTTTTATCAAGCCCAGGTGAGATGGAATGTTTACTGTCCTTTCACGTGGGCCAGACCTTCTCTTTCTTCACAGTTGTGTATCATTGTTATTTGCCAAAGAGCTGATTCTTCAACACAGCTGAAAAAGTTATCAGAAAAAGTTCTCCATGCCCAGGTTTCTCTGTTTGAGGGCAAAGAAAGATCTTTTAAAAGATTGCCACTTAAAACATAAAGGCTTTAGAGTTTAAAGGGTAAGCTTTGGTTATCTGGAAAATTACATAGGAACAATCAGTAATATTATTAAGATATTTATATCCTTGAAAAGGCCCATGGTGTTCACAAATTGTATCGTAACTCATGACCAGTTAGGTCAGGCTGAATAGAGTTCATGGTTTTAAAACCCTTATATTTTATAATGTTAGCCATTTATTACCACAATAACATACTTATTAGATCCATTTTGAGATGATAAACATTGATATTTTAGCTTTTCCTAATGAAATTATGTAAAACGATGCCTTTGTGTAAACAGGCCATCACTCTTTGCAAAGTCATGGCCCTGCATGTCACTGTTAAGAGGCAATCTAGGTGCTAGCTAGACTCTAGCATAGCGATTGAAAGCACAGACCCTGGCTCTGTTGTTTATTAGCTAGGCAAGTTGCTTAACTTCTCTGGCCCTTTCTCATTTGTAAAGTGAGGGGTAATAATAGTACCTGTGTTACAGGGTTGTTTTTAAGGATTTGATAAAATCATGTAAACCCTTATACGATGCCCGAACGCAATGTGAATGCACATTGGCTTTTGAGTAGTATTAGCTGTTGTTAATATTTCAGTTCCTTCTGAAAACAGTGAGTTTTTGTACTGATCAGCTTTGGTTACTTCACATGAGCGAAAAAAAATTCAGGAGTCATTTTTATTTTATATGCATGGAGTAGTTTATGCTACTACATTGAAATAATCCTTTGTGTTTTTTCTCCCTAGATAATTTTTACGATCTGGAATGTTCTTAATAACCTGATTGGGTATTTTCACGACAACTCTAAGGCTGAATGCTGCTCAAGTCGTCATGTTTCTATCTTGTGTTGTGCCCCTTTGTATGCAATAGCCTTCCTGCTTCCTTGGTTCCCTTGGAAATACTATCAAGAGGGTGACTGGCTTAGTGGACTTCACCTGGTGGTATCATTGTGTGCTTTTGACAGCACACTCACCTGTGTTCAGCAAGCCCAATGTGCACTGTTTGCAGAAATTTTCACTAGACATGAAAGTAGGCTTCAGCTTATTAAAATTAACCAAGTGGCATCACTGGTAGCATCTACCAGTATCCTTTTCTGTGGCCTCATCTCTAATAACATGGAAATTTTGCCCTATTTTCAGGCCATTGCTATTGTCATTGCCTTTCTTGCTGCTGCCAGCCTTTATGCTGGCATGTACCACATGAGACATTTCGAACTTAAAAGAAGCCCCAAGGAAAACCTTCTCTTGGAAAATGAAGAGGATCTCGCCTGGACCACTGTCGTCTTAGCCATGAGACAAATCTTGTCCCAGAAGAACTTTTACCTCTTTCTGATAATGAATTTCTTCCAAGTCTTTCATTTAACCTTCTTCAACAACTTCATGATGATCTTTGCAGACAGTCTCATTCCCAGGGATGTTCTTTCTTCTTCCATAAGGAGCATCATGTACGGGGCAGGCTTTATTTGCCCACAGGTATGTGATAATTCTTCATGTATTCCTGAAGGGATTAGAGATTTAACTCTTACCTGGGTGAGGAAATTAGAAACCTGATTTTATCAATAGCTTGGACAAAATGACACATATGTATTAAGAGACACAAAGATTCAGAACTCTAGATATTAAACAAGATTCAACAGAAACATATTGGAAAAAAGAAACAAAAGGAAAAAAGAAAAGAGAATCTAGTGAAAGTTGGGCAATGTGGTATTTTAAACATTTCAACTTTTGAATTTTGTTCCCCTGAGCTTTTTCATTTAAGCCTCAGCAGAGCTATGGAGGAAAATAAACAGCTTCCTATGAACATGTATTAGTAGTTTAGCTCTATTCAGGCATTTAAGATTTCTGTTACTGTTACACAGAAGAAGAGTTTACTCGATCGAGAATTCTTGGAGCCAGGTTTCAAAACACTTGGCTAAAAGCCTGAGTCCTGGAATTCCAGAGCATTATTAAAATTCCTTGGTCATGAGCATTATTGTAGAGGGCATGTCCTTCAAAAAAATATACTGGCCTGCTGTTTATTATACAATTTGGAGAGCTGATATATTTGCCCCCTTGACCTAAATATATCCCCTAAAAATATGACTTGAGTAGGGCATGGTGGCACACAATTGTAGTCCCAGCTACTCAAGAGGCTGAGGCGGGAGGCTTACTTGAGCCCAGGAGTTCAAGTCCAGACTGGGCAACGTAGTGAGACCCTGTCTCTAAAAAAAATAAAAATAAAAATATGACTTACCTAGCCTATAATATGGATTTTCCCATTTTCACAATTAAATGATAAGTAAAACATGGTACCTATACTCTTTAGGGAATAAGTTATTCTAGATAGACTAGTTTTTGCTGTTTACCAACTTTCAAAAATATTTAAACCATTTAAGGTAGAAATGTTTCTAAAATGTTTTAAGTGTTGCCACAATTTCTTAAGCAAAGAATATAGGATAGAATTTGCCTTTCTGAAAATCTATCCCAAGGTCTCTATGGTTACTGTATATACCATAATAATGATAACTCACAGTTATTGAGTGCTTGCCATGCCAGGGACTATTGCCAAGCACATTGTACACATTGCCTCATGTAATGATCATAACAACGTGCAAGAGAGAGATTCTTATCTTACAGATGAAAAATGGAGGTGCAGAGGCATCTGCCTTTAGGGCCACGCACTTTTAAGATTCTCTCTCTAAAATGCACTGTGCTTACGTCATTTATTTAGCAGAGTATATCAAACGAAATTTCATTTTGGTTTATCAATATAGTCCTAGGTGTGTGCATGATAAGACAATGCTCTCCTTTCAAAGCAATTTGAGGTTCATCAAGTTGTTTGCTCCTAGTTCAACCTCCCAGAATGGGAAGCTGTTCATGTTCCTGTCTCTGCTTGTTACTTGCTATCAGATTCTAGGCTGTGTATACCTTCTTACTTTAAATTATGTACAGTGCACAATACTTGCCTATAGTTTCTCCTCTTCACCAAGTAAAGTTTGTTACACTCTTATGTAAAAAAAGAGAGTAGATAGATTTTTAAAAACAGCCTTGTTGAGATATGATTCATGTACCATACAGTTCACTCAATTAAAACATGAAATCCAATGTATTTTAATAGAATTACAGAGTTGTGCAACCAGCACCACAGTCAATTTTGGAACATTTTCATCACCCTAAAAAGAACCAGTCAATCTCCACTCCACTTTCCCCTCAGCCCCTGATAACCACCAATCTACTTTCTGTTTCTATGGATTTACTTATTCTGAACTTTCTTATAAATGGAATCATATAATATGTGGTCTTTTGTGACTGGCTTCTTTCACTTAGCATGTTTTTTTAAACATTAGACATAATTTGATGTAGACTTGGCACATTTTTAAGATTCATCCACGTTGTACCATGTATGAGTACTTCATTCCATTTAATGACCTGATAATATTCCATTGAATGGATATACCACATTTTGTTTATCTGTTCATCAGTTGATGGACATTTGGATTGTTTCTACTTTTTGGCTATTAATGACTAATGATGCTATGAACATTAATGTACAAGTTCTTGCAGAGATGTATATTTTCATTCTTTTGGGTGTACATCTAGGAGTGGAATAGCTGTGTCATACAGTGACTCCATGTTTCACATTTTGAGATAACAGATACCAAAATGGCTGCACCATTGTACATTCCTACCAGTAGTGTATAAATGTTCTAGTTTCTCCGTATTCTTGCCAACACTTGATATGATCAATCTTTTTCATGTTAGCCATGCTAGTATCTATATAATATCTTATCGTGGTTTTGATTTATGTTTTCCTAATGATTACTAGTGATGTTGAGTATCTTTTCATGTGCTCACTTGCCATCCATATATCTTTTTGGTGAATTATTCAAATCTTTTGTCTATTTTTAATTGAATCACCCATCTTTGGATCACTGATTTGTAGGAGTTCTTTATATATTCTAGATACATGTCCTTTGTCAGATATATGTTCAGTAAATATTTTCTCTTAGTCTCTCTTGGTTATTAAATATTAAGAGAAGTATGACCAAAAGATTTCAACAGCCCTTTTTCTGAAGTCCTCACAAGAACATGAATTTCTGTTGATCTCAATAAAAAGTCATCATACAATGGAAATCCAAAGTTGCTTTAAATTTATTCTTAATTTCTAGAGAAGTAACACTTGCATAAATCATCGTGGTAAAAAATGACAGCTCATTGGAATCTTTTATTATTGTTATTTAATTTGGCTAAGTCACTTTAACACTTTAATGAGCAGGTATAGTAATGAAGGGTGAGCACCTACTGTAATATATTTTCATTTTCTTAGGCTGTCTTCTTAGTGGCTTTCTTTTTTGAGGAGTTGAATAAGTAAAAGGAGAAAAGAATAGACAAGTACTCTTTCTCTCCAATAACTGTTTTTAATAGGTCTGTCACTTTTCCACATTTCACTCCCGTCAAAGAAGTAGAGTAGTAGCTGAGTTAAGAGAATGGCTCTGAAGTCTGCCTAAGAGGAATCTGGCTCCATACTTACCAGCTGTGTGACTCTGAGTAAGTTACTCAACCTCTCAGTGCCTCAGTTTCCGCATCTACAAAATGAGAATCAAAATAGTACCTACACAATGGAATAATTAATATTATGAAGATTAAATGAATGAAAACATCCAATGTACTTAAAATGTTTCCTGGCATTAAATAAACACTCTAGAAATGTTACTTCTTATTACGTATAACTAATTCAATACAGCAGATGTTTATTAGACTTTCACTTGCAAGCATAGCACACTGCCTTCATCTCTCTGTTTTGATTTAGGCTCCTTTGGTGTAGGTTTGCCAACACTTACGTTGGGACTCACTGTTGAACAGGGAGCCAAAATCCTCAGTTTGTAGAGGCTTTATTTTAGTAAAAGAAAAAACAGTCTTTCTTTTTTTTTTCATGATTTTTATAATATTGCTCATCATTGGCTTATATCTTCTTATATATCAGACACAACAAACACAGCTAACAATTATTGAGTACCCTCTATGTTGAGTATGGTGCTAGATAAGAGAGAAGGAGGGAGAGAGAGAGAGTTAGTTGGTGGGGGAAATGCCCCTTAGGTAATTTATCTGCCAACACATAGCTGATAAAAGTGACAAAGCTGGAATTCAAACCTAGGGACATCTGATTTCAAATCTTGCACTTTCCACTCTGCCACACATTTCTTATATTATTTACTTATTTTGTGTATTTATGTATTAGAGATCGAGAAGAAGCAGCTTCATTTCAATATGTAGAAATGTGTTACTTTATAATATTATAATTCTATTTCAGAATATAATTGTATTTGGTGGGGTTTTTTTTTTATGTTTATTTATTTTTTAGAGACAGGGTCTATTTCTGTCACCCAGGCTGGAGTGCAGTGGCCCAATCATAGGATACTGCAGTCTCGAACTCCTAGGCTTAAGCGATTGTCCCATCTCAGCCTCCCAAGTAGCTGTGACTACAGGTGTGTGCCACCATGCTCAGCTAATT